CCGACGGGGAACTGCAGTCCAGCTCTGGAGGAGCGAGTCTCGGCTTTAGAGCGAGCCTTTCTTCCAGTTTTACCTCTTCCACTCATTGTGATAACAACCGCTACAACACAGCTCAAAGAAAGAATGATAATACAGAAAGCTGCGACGTTACTTTTAAAAGAAAGCGTGCCAGTGTCCTATTGGCTGGAGTGTGAATACGTTCCAAGCCAATCAGTGAACCTCCCTCCGAACTTCAAAACCCACCCTCTGACAACCCTCAAGCACAACGTTAACCATGTTTACGAGCTTCTTTTTTGTTTACCTTTATTTATTTTTCTATGTATTCCTTTCTTATTTTTACTTATATACATTTTTGACTTTATGTAGAACACTTTCAATTACCTTTGTGTATTAAATGTTACATCAACCTGTCTCGCCTATTATTTATTTTATTAGTTTTAAGCATAATAAAGTGATTCAAGATGAATGTCTTACTTGAAGCAAAACATTAATTCTCATATCAATAACGTCCAAATGCAACATTACGCGACACTGAACAGAAACAATGCTCTCACTTTGAATTAGTGGGTGGCTCTTAAAAGAGCCGTTTTGATAAAACGTAAAAATGACTGAGTTTATTTCTTCTTGGCTGCTGTCTTTTTAGGTTTGGCTGCTTTGGGTTTCGTCGTCTTGGGTTTGGCTGCCTTGGTCTTTTTAGGGCTCTTGGCTGCTTTCTTAGGAGTCGCTGGTTTCTTTGCTTTCTTGGGGCTCTTCGTTGCCTTTTTAGCAGCGGGTTTCTTGGCCTTCTTCGGAGGTTTCTTAGCGGCGGGCTTCTTCGCTGCTGCGGTCTTGGGCTTCTTAGCGGCGGCAGGTTTCTTGGCTGTGGGCTTCTTGGCTTTAGGAGCGGCTTTCTTGGCGGGTTTTGTCTTGGTCTCAGCTTGTTTCTTGTTGAGTTTGAACGAGCCGGAGGCGCCGACTCCTTTGGTCTGGACCAATGTAGTCCTTGGCAGCGTGCCAATGTAGTCGGCTTCATTAACAAATGACTCTTATGAACCGGATCTTTTTGAGTCAAAACCACAAAGCGCAGCCCAGTTCACTAACGAATTGTTTTTACATTTGTTCGTGAATCAGATAATTACTGC